AAAAAAAAAAAAAAAAAAAAAGAGTTGGTCAGGGTCGTGTTGTTGGGTGTGGTGCACAAATCACTGAATGGAATTCTGTGGCCCATGTGCAGAAAGTCACAGTGGTCCCTTTTTGCCATACGGTTGTCATCTAAGAAAGCATCAGAACACAGAGCTATAAGGCCTCCCTCCTGTATGATTTCTCATTTTGTGATTAATCCATGTGTGTGCAAGGTATGCAGAAGAGGACACGAGGATGGCTAAAGGGGATCTGGAAGAAGGTCTGGTGGGATCAGATTGTGTGCATAGAGGACAAAGCTGTACCTGAAAAACCCAGTGTCTGTGGCTGAAGACTGTGCCCAAGAGCTGCTACCTCAAAACACCTCTGCTGCAGCCAAGAGCGTAGATCTGTGCCAGTAAGGTTTCTGGTCAGGGTTTGGTCAAGAAGTAGTGGTTGTGGACCAAGAGAGATTCTGCGCAGCAGCTCCCTACAGGAAGGGGGCGGGCAGGAGGCGGCTCTTCTGTCTACAAGCAGACAGCGGGGGTGGGGGACAAGGAGGGGACGTGGTGCTGGCCTGGGAGGGGGGAGGATACTTACGAGATTTGGGGACTTAAGAAAGTCCCTGCCTGCGGTGCGCTGGATCTGAGCTAGTCGGGGCTGTGCCTACCGAGCGGGGCCCGGCACGGCTCCTTCACCCTCTGGATCGGCCGGGCCGGGCCCTGCGGCACGTGCCCGCCCCTCCCTGCCGGGCCTGTCTAGGGTACGCGGGGCTGCACGACCCGCTCGCGGGGGAGTGGAGGGGGGGCGGGCGCATGCTCCTTGCTCGGCCCAGCGGGGGCTCACCCTGGCCCCGGCCACCCCCACGCCCATTTGGTCTCGCCCATCGATATTTTCAGCACTCAGCTTTGTCGCTCCCATTGCCCATTTGCCCTTCCAACCACAAATCGATGATGTTGCCGCAACCTATTCCTAATGCGCATGCGGACGGAGACCAACGCCTTCCTAGTTTCTTCGTTTGTTAGGTGGTCACTGTGTAACCATGGAACCCCCATCAATGTTTCCGGCATGTGGCAGCGCCAATCCATAATATCAGCGATTGATGTCTTGACTTGGAGTACTACGCATGCACGCTTGCCCACGGTCATCGATGAATTTGGTAGTCAGCTGGTCAGCCTGCTACGCGTTGCGCATGTGTACTTTCTTTGCCCATAGATGGGCAACCTCGATGCATACCGATACCGAAGTGTGCATGCGCGCTTATTGCCACCCATCGATAGTTATTTGACGACCTGCAGCCAGCTCCGTACAGCGCATGCGCACTGAGTCTCCTCTAGCCCCTATTGTTTTAACGACACTGCCGCTTTCCCGCACACCGGCTCCGCGCGCGCTGCGGCGGCGGGTCCGGAGTGACCGGGGGTGGGGACATCCCTTAACTTTACCCCGAGTATTAGCCCCAAAAAGGACTGTAGCGCTCATTCGATAGTTTCGGCGTTCGTCCTGTTGTCACTGCCTCTATAATCATGGAAACCCATCCATGACTCCTACGATGACAGGGTCCTCTGATTCCCAAGACGCACGAGCAGATCCATAATATCCAAGATCCATGTATTCTGACTGTGACCAATGCCCCCGCACAAGTTACTCGGAGTCCCACTTATCCACAGATCACAACTCCACGCATGCGTACTTGCTTTGCCCATTGATGGGCAAACACAATTGATCCCCGCTTGTTCTCAATGCGCACGCGTGCTTATGTCCTCTTATTTACGCTTTCATCGCGATACTAGGAGTCAGCTCTGTACTGCGCCTGTCCACAGGGTCCCGTCCCTCGCCCGCCCCCCCCAGTGATGGCTTAACTGTGTGGCCTATCATGTATACCGGCTCTGTTCCCCGCGCGGCTGCGGCTGCGGGCAGGGCGAGACGTGGGGGGAGTCCATTCCTGCTCCTTACCCCCAATATTAGCCCCAGAGGGAACGGAAAGCGCCATTCCCAGTGCGCATGCGGATTAAGACGGCCCTTGATCGTTTTGGCGCTCGTCCTAGCGTCTCTGCCGCTGTAACCATGGAAACCCATTCATGGTTCCTGAGCTCGCTCGCAGGACGCCTGGATACGCCAATTCATAGTATCTGCGTTCGGTGTTTTGCCTGGGCCTACGGCGCGGCTTCTAGTACCACCGATAAATTCGGTATTTAGCTGAACATTGGGGAGCGATGCATTTTGACAGCAACCATTGCGCATGTGCACGGTCCAACGTTACCGTTACATTCGGAGCTTATTTAGCCAACCCCTCAGGGCTCCGGGCATGCTTACTCGGTTTGCCCACTGATGGGAAAACCCGATGCGCCGCCTCTTCCCAAGTGCGCATGCATGTTTATGGCAGCTGATCGATATTTTCATCATGCGACCGGGAGCCAGCCGTATACAGCGGGTTTGCACCGTGTCTCCCAGCGCCGGTTTAACGATGCGACCGCTTTCCTGCACAGCGGCGCCGCGCCCCCGTGGCTGCCGCTGCCGGCCCCGAGTGAGAGCTTCTCCCCAGAATTGGTTTGGAAGGCGCGGGGGAACTGTAGCACTGAGAGTAGCACCTTGATCCTTTCGGCTCTGGTCCTGTTGTCACTGCCGCTATAACCATGGAAACCCATTCATGGCTCTCGCTCTAGCAGCGTCCACGATTTCCCAAGACGCATGTGCCAATCCAGAATATCGGTAATCGATGTTTAGACAGCGAGCACTATGCACACGCAAGGCCCGGTACCACATCAATTCAGAGTATAGCAGTCAGTGCGCCGTGCATGCGTACTTATTTTGCCCATAGATGGGCAAGCGCGCAGCACCTCTTCACAAGTGCGCATGCGTATTCATGACCGCTCATTGATGTCTTCGTTGTGTGACTGTAAGCCTGCTCTGTACGATCGAGGTTTTTACTGGGACCCGTACACATGCGCGAGGCCCAGTATCCTCGTTAAGTTGTGG